CCTTGGGGCCTCCAATCCCTCAGGTGCCACGGCTGTTTGAACGGAGTAACAGACTTCTCAATTTTCACCCCAAGCTGTAAATAAAACATGTGATTCGAATTTATTTAGTTATTATGTTTATATTTTGTTGTTATTTTGTCACCAACTTAGCAACCCATAAGGACCATGTTCATTTTTTAAATTTTCAGTTAATTTTGTTGCTAATTTTTTTAGCTTTTTTCAATTTATAAAGGTATTTTGCACATCTACAGGCAAATATCTTTCTAACAGTTTGCGTAGATTTTCCCTGCTATGCACACGAGCTGAGTAAAAAGGTTTTAAAGAAACATGCTTGCATATTAATGTATATATACCTTTAGACGAAGATTTTTACAAACTTTAATATGCGGTCATACGTAAAAATAACAAAAACCTAATGGAATAAATTTTACTTTTAGACTTTGTGAAACTTGAACTTTGTGAAACGATCCCATGATATGTAGTTCTTTACATCGTTGTACAGTATAACACATTTCTACCGTATCCATAAAAGAACATTATACCAATTCAATTCAATTCAATTCAATTATTTAAGATGGGGACGCCACTATGTGCGTATTTTAACCCAAATATGAGTGAAGGATGAGTGTAGGATGAGTGGCGCGATCTTGTAGTCTTGTTAGTGACTAAGGCCGACATGTTCCTTAGACACAGCTGTTAATTAATAGCCCATACAGCTAATGGCAACTAAGGGACCTACAGTTTATAGTGGAATCCGAACCACATTTTTCCTTGTAATTTACGAATTGGTCTAATTATCAGGATAATACTGCGGATAACCGTAGTACTCACTAATGCGGACGTTAATCCACACCAGGGAGCATCGCATCCACAGTGCATCCCTATAAATATCCACAATTCGTGACCTCCCAGTAGCTGGATTACAGGACGACGCCACCCGTCCCAGTCTTAAACAATAAAAAAGTAAATCATCAAATATTCACACAATATCAACAAATTGATTATAAATTAAAAACATAAACTTAACTTAAAACAACCCTACTTTGACAGTTATCATTGTGTATCACAGCTTTTTGTTGATACTTGGTTCAAATTAGCTGACAAAATTGTTTAATCTATATTATTAATACGCTACATGGAGTTTTTTTGTTTTAAGATTTAACCCCACGTATCAAAATGTTCGTCTAAGTGTGTAGATTTGCAAACTGGCCTTAATTCTTTTTTTAAAGTCCCCTGGGCTCTGCCCCAGTGGCTTATAAAGTTGCCATGTTATCCTTATGAAGAACATATTTGTTTACATTATGATCAGCTGGATAATGTAAATACTGTTAATATTTTAGTTGCAATTTAAGAAAACGTTTGCTACAAACATTTACTGACTTGGTTGATATGAAATATTTACTATTTAAATTTGGATTGGCGTAAATATTACAATGGGGAAAAAGCGAGAAAGTCTGAACACTTTGTACCACGTTGTATTAACCTAAACTTTGAGACACAACATTTGATTTTCTCCATAAAATTATTTCAGCTTTTTGTACAAACCTAAGCTAAAAATAAAATCTAAGCTTAAATTTAACAGTCCTTCACTTTTCTATTTCGTAATGTTACCTAATTTAATTTTAATGTTTAACATGGTAAAGTGGGACATTCACTGAGGGTGGAGATTTGCTTTGACGGGTGTGTCAGTGTACCAGTGTACTATACCCTATTGTCAAAGTCTCGATGGATTGTTATTAGATTCAATCAGTCTGCGCAGGCGCCGACGTTGTGTGAAGTGCGGTGTAGATGTCAGTCAGGCTGGTTTTCACGGCTGTTTTTGTTCCCAATCCGGTTCTCGCTCACAGACGATATCACGATTGAGATGTCTTCTTTGTCTCGTGGTTTGCGATAATCGATTGCCAAATAAATGTTACAATGTTGAGTAAACTTGTATGTAAACCCGATAGAACCTGTAAAAAGTGGTTATAACCGAAATTAAAAGTAGAGTTAACAATTTTAAATGGTTTTAGCGATATTTAAGTGCGTGATTGTTGTACTATTCAGTTTATTAACTAACATAGGCCTACTAGTAAATTGGTATTTTCATATTTGGGTTGATATAAAATTGATACAGGATATTACCCACCAGCCTTACACCCTAATATTAGTCAGTGCCCTTAGTGATATCTTAACAACACCTTACCAAATAAACGCATTTGAAGAGCTACAAAGAAAGTAAAAGTACCAGTCCGTTGAAAATTTGCATGCACGATACCTAAATAAATAAACCTTGAAAATTTCTCTTGATTTAAGAAATATCTTTACCAATTTAGTGATGTTCTTTCTAGCCATTATATTAAAAACCATACATTCACTTCACAAGTAAATATGTATATTTTTATGTAAATATGTATATTTTTATGATATTTTTATTTTTATGTATATTTTTATGAGTGTATCAGGACAAAAAAAGTAATGATTCAACAAACTATTGGTCGCAATGCTTATTATACGATTTTCGTTGATTTCAGCTACTAACTAAACAACTCAATTCAACGCTACTCCATGGAAGGTAATGACCCAACTGACCACTCCTCTGCTGTCAACATAGGTGTGACATTGATTTGTATAATTCTATAGCACTGACTACAGAACTGTATCTTCCTCCAGTAGTTCTACTGCTCCTCCTTAGTGTTACTCTATGCAGTTCTGTGCGCTGCTGCCGCTACTCTATGGAAGGTCATGACCCCACTGACCACTTCTCTGCTGTCAACTTAGGTGTGGCATTGATCTGTATAATGCTATAGCACTGACTACAGAACAGTATTTTCCTCCAGTAGTTCTACTGCTCCTCCTCAGTGTTACTCTATGCAGTTCTGTGCGCTACCGCCGCTACTCTATGGAAGGTCGTGACCCCACTGACCATTCCTCTTCTGTCAACCTAGGCGTGACACTGATCTGTCTAAAACTGACTAGTCACTACAGAACAGTATTTTCCTTCAGTAGTTCTACTGCTCCTCTTCAGTGTTTTACTCTATGCAGTTCTGTGCGCTGCTGCCGCTACTATGGAAGGTCATGACCCCACTGACCACTCCTCTGTTGTCAACGTTGCCGCCGCGCATCGCTTTCTACTCTACAGGCTTTCGCTGACAAAACGGGACACACACGCACGGTAAACCCAAACCGGTCTATCTTTGTTACGTGTTTCCCGACTCTCGGCTGTGGACTCGTTCAACTCCTGGAGGCGTTAGAATGTCAAGTTTACACTTATGCATTGGTCAATGGTCATTGATTATACGACCATTGATTCTTGCACTGCTACGTCTTCCGCCTAGATGTTCTTGAACTCCTGAACTGAGCGTTTGCCGGCAGATGTACGAACTTTAACTACACCCTCCGTATCCAGGATTGGACAAAGAATGCTTTTAGCCCAATGATACATTTTTTTTCACTAAAAGACCATACTGTATTACTTTTTGTTAACTTTTTTGGCTATAACTAATTTAATAATGATCTTTGACAAAAAAGTCAAAATTGTGCATGTTGACAGCGTGTGAAACAATTCAAAATACAGTAGGAGTGATGAGGACAAGATAGACAAGATACTAAAGTTAAGATGGATACAATTAACGGGTTGATTTGGTTTCTAAGTCATACATTCCCTCCAATAAGTTTGTCTATGGATACTTCTTTTGAAAATAAACACTATTCAAACCAACCTTAAGTTTCCATTCCTCCTCCAGGTACTGAAAACATTGATTGAAATTTAGCATTTCTCTATTTATTAAATTAAATTATAATGATTTTGGGACTTGATGTTTTTATAAATCTTTGTTAAAACTGATTTCGTGTTTAAAAAAACATTTTACGAGTATTGCCATCTGCTTAACCATCTCGCGTGTGTCCAAGGCAATACCTGGCTCTAATTTTATTTTTTTTTAAGGTTATACATGAAACCTAAAAAAATACACCCAACCCCTAAGGTCGTAAAATGGTTCAAACAAATGACGCTCATTGTTGAACCAAAATGTTGACAATCCAACTCAGACGTTCGTAGGAGGTGACAGTTGCAGTGCAGACGACGCAGTCTACTCCAGAACATGAATGAAAGCTCAGTCAAGGACACTATACGTGTCATTCATCAGTTTCTCCGTGTGTGACTATGAAGGCAGATCACGTTTGTAGAAAGCCATCACTAGCGGCAGCGGCACACTGACCCGACAATAGCCACTGAATGCACTTATGTGCGGTTTAAAAACAGACGGAACTATTGTTTTAAAACATTCATTATAATCTCTTGGACCAATGTAATACCAAGAAAGCCTATTGTGAAGTCATCTTTAAATGGTAAAACAAAGAAGCAAAACATCAAACAATCTAATTTGCGTCCTGCAACAACAAACGAAGTAGAATGATAAGATGGATTACCCCATTAATGATACCCTCGATAACAAGTCACTCTTAGTAGGTACAGTACAAGATACAGATACCTTTCATTTATATTCCCCAATCACATGTTATTCAAACATCGCAAGAAGTTAACCTTGACAACAAGTCTTACCTGATAATAATCAAAATGAGAGACACTATTTATCAAATTCTACTTTTCATTACAAGGTGGTAGTAAACAATTTATTGTTCACAATAGAGCCTCGATAACAAGTTTTACATGGGAAAAATTTTAAATAAAAAATGGTGACTTCTTATCAAGGTTTGCAGTAAAATGTGATGGGTAATATTAAATCAAGGGTATGGTATTTTAAAATTACATTTCTTATCAAGGGTGACTTGTTATTGAGGTTCCACTTTATGGCCGTATTCAACCAATTAAAGTGCTGCTCTTTGCGTTTGTGGTCTCTTAATTGAAGATGGAATTGCTACTGGCATAGATAGTATTTTTAAAATTCAAAACCATAGGCCTACTTAGGACTTTTAATACTTTAATCTGAAATGATGGCCATACAATGTGTAATCTGTAATGCAGAAACCTAACAGTTAACAGTGTGGATGTTTCTCAGGGGGGAGCCGGGCAGTGTTCCCGAGGATGGACTATGACGAGTGGACACCACTGGGCCGAGGAGACCCGCTCAAGAACGACCCGACCTACGACTACGTACCTCCTGTGTTGGATAGAGTCAACTACTGGCTGGAACCTGAGGCTAGGACTCCGGATCCTCAGATACTACTGCTGGGGGCCTCTAGTGGCAAACCTGAGATGGGCAAGGTGAGGTATAGCCTATACTAACACATTGTCATACTACTGCATTGGAACCTCGATCAGTGTTGGTTCTAGGACAAGGTCAAGGGGTACTATCAAGAGAGGGTCAAGGTGTGATTAGAAAGGGGTGGTTAAATATTTCCTATTTTAAAAGCTGTTTAATGACTTTTAAAGTCATTTTAAAAGTCCAGAACTGCCTCCAAAAACCTCCGTTACGCTTTTATAACTAAATGTATGTTAAAGTTTTTATTTGTAGCGTCCAATTCATAGCACTACCCCTTGGAACCGCACTGACCTTGATAACAAGTCACCCATGATAACAATAGTGTAATTTCCAAATACTCCTGATTTAGTATTATACCAATACCCCTAATCACATGTTATTGCAAACCTCTATAAGAAAGTCCACCTTCATTAAATGTCTGATTTGATAAATTTGATAATCCCCATGAGAGACCTTATCAAGGTTCTACTGCTCTAATCACTAATATTATTTTATCATATAATACTAGCTGTTGGCCCATCCTGAGTACGGGAATCGAGTATTCAATTTAAACTCAATATAATCCAGAAAAGCTAAATTACACGATGAATACACATTCTGTCAGTTTTAGTTTTAATAGGGAAAATCATCTCTAAACAGATATCATGTTATTACCTATTTCTTTCATCCGACTATGCATTTTAAATTCAATAATTTTACAATACAACAGCGATTGTGTTGATTTGAAAAGCCTTGAAGTGAGAATTTTGAGTGAGAATCAGAGAATCATTAAGTAAAATTACCTAAATCTTGTGGCCTGTAAATCTTTGAATAGAACTACAATTTGCCAACAATTGATGACTAGATGACTACTGTACTTACCGACAAAAAATTTCCAGATGAAGAAACAGCCCCAAGCGGATTCTCGGAGGGATATTTTCAACCCACTGATGCAGCTGATTGAGAGGAAGCACACGGGTAGATTACGTCCTCAGTACATACCTCTACAGGGGGGTTACATGTACAAGACGTCCCCCATGCGACTTCCCTATACTGTGCTGGTGCCACCGCCCCCGGTACAACGACCCACGGTACCGGTATCCTCCACGACCCCCCCAGATAGTGGCACCACGGCCCCACCACCAGAGACTGAGGGAACCACTTACGCCACCTCCGAAGCGACTGCTTCCACCACCAACATCCACAAGGTATTGTACAGTAAATGACTGAAAATAAAACATACTATCTCAATTAAAGTTTACAAATCTCTTAGAAACTTTTAGAATGAATAAAATGTAATTGTGAAGTAAAAAAATGTATTAACTGAATGAATGGATTACAGATATTAATTGACGAAATACTAAATTTACCATAGGTCTTGTTTGAAAAATGCAATGGAAAGAAATTAGTGTACATGTGAATTGCCCAACAGTATGCACAGTCTTTGCTGTATTTAGGGACCCGTGCGACCCCCGCTCTGTAGAGATTCCCCGTCATCGGGATGAAATTGTGGACACCCCCCACGATCACAAAGACCAAATTCAATGTGAATATTTCCTAAATTCAATGCGCCTGAAAGAATTTAACAAGTTTTGCTTATCCCAAACTCGAATCATGACTGAAAATTACTTCTGACAAAATAAATTATATTAGTCAAATGATACTGAAACATGACAACTATCATTGATATCTGGATATGGTACTAAAGTAGATCCGATCCACAGTTTTAGATAGACCAGCTGTAGCTATATTTTTTTCTGTTCAAACAGAACCACGCGTAAAGTGTGCAGCTTTTGGAATCAAAATTTTATTTTCTTCAATAATTTTTAATACTTGGATAGTTGGATATGACATAAAATGCTACGTTTTCAATAGGCTGTCTTATTAGTTTATTAGTCTTGGAAGGTCTGTATTTGACATCAGAGTATTTTGTCAGTGACTTAATTCAAATAAATCATCTTTATACTGGAACTGGCTACAACATTAACATGGGGTGTTTACTTCTATCAATATTCAAAGCTATTACTGAAGTTACATACTTGTTGTAATTTAAAATAGAAAGCAGCCTTGTGTATCACCAAGTGATTTGACTCTGGTTGTTAAACTACCATGATTTTAAAGGCCTTGATGGCTTCATTTTCAAGTTTACATGGACATTTGGAGTGGTCCAATCAATCCTCTTCCACGTATCTTCATGTAAAAGCATTTCTTAATACTTGAACAATTTTTTCCTCTGCTCCCAGGTGTTGTCTCCCCTGATAGACATTCAGCCCAGTGGTCAGCAGTCATTATCTTCCTCTCTACTGCAGATTATACTACAGAATGAGATGGCTTCCACCCCACCAACCTCCACTACTACAACCACAACTCCACACCCTGCACTCACAACAGATCCACTCTTCTCCCACTACAAACAGCCTGCTGAGCCTCTCAGAGGCCCCATGTACCTCATCATCCAAGGACACTCCAAGGTGAAGACTTACGGAGCGTCAGGCATTGATGTCCAGGAGGATAATGAGGTAGCTTGAGACTTTATTTATTTTCCTATTATAATAAGGTATTCACAAATTCCAATTTATTTTCCAAATTGCTCAAGATGAGTGGTTGTTCCCTCTTATTTTCATTAGATTGGTTGAACCTTAATGACGTAAATAGTTGAATGTAAAGTAAGCACATGAAACAGGCCCCTGGTATGCACATGACTTGCTATGGACCTGAGAGATATCGGCGCCCCTCTCCCTCTCCTCACTTCCTAGCAGTGGGATTTTTATCTTCTTTGTGCTCCAACAAACCTAAAACTTCTTGCACCCTGGGCATAGACCCACCGGGCCAATTTACTAAAGCATGAGACATAATTTTCAGAACAATAGCTCCTTCTTTTGTTGTAGAGGATAAAGATTCTACAACTGAAGGAGCTAATAGATCCAAAAATGCTATGTCTCATGTGTTTATTATTTGAGTACTTTCAACTATTTTTGACAGTAAAAGTAAGCCTTTGTTCATCTATCCACCACACAATGATTAAAATCTGGTCCAAAACTTCTATATCAAATAATGTTCGGCAGATAATAAATGAAAATTCTGTCCCCTAAGATGGTCTTAACATAAACAATTTTCAAATTCCAATTGATCCTTGACCAATCAATGGCTAAATTATATTGTCTCGCTGGCCAAGAGACAGGATATCTGTGCTCATTAATATTGAGAAACCCAGAAGAGAATATTGAGAAAATATTGAGATAAAAGGGTTAAACTTCGCACCATTGATTTTATGTTAAACGATGAGTCAATGACATCTACACATATATACATGTATAGTACACAAAACATCTAGTAAATTAAAGAATAAAATGTCATGAAGTATTTAATAATCATCACTAACACTCTGTTTTTGATGAAAACCAAATAACTTTAGTTTATATTTTGAGTTTTTAAACATCAATTTTTTATCAGGTGGGGGATCGGCGTAGAAGGAGCAGACAAATTGACCTAGAAGACTTCCTACCTGTGGAGGAAACATTGGAAGCATTGGCCAAGGATTACTTGGACGATGACACAGTAGAGGGCTCTGGGCTCAAGACTATCCTGGCCGCAGCCATAGGCAGCTGAGACTACAAATATCTTAGATACGTTTTTTAAATTCATTGAGATAATAGTAAGATCTTATACTATGGATAGAACAAGATATTCTATTCACATCTTAAACTTGTAGCCATTTCCAGAATAAAAATGAACATTGCATCAAGCCACCGATGCATACTATGTGAATTACAAGTTTTTCTGTAGAATACGCCAATTTTTTACTGATGGGAAATTGTTATTGTAAACTATAGTATCTTTGGTGTCACATTAATGGAAAAGTATAATGCTAATAGTAAAAGGAAAAATATAATTTTATACTGATTCACACTCTGCATAGTTCATTTTCAATGAAAAATTGGCTACAGCTGTTTATATGGAAACGTCTACTTCAGTAAAAAATCAATGATAAGGTTTACAAAGTGGCTCAACGTTTGGCTGTGTTAAAGTTAGAAAAATAGATTAAAGATAAAAAAAATATTATTGCTTTAGACTGGCCTTAAAATTTAAGGACCTCATATGTTTGACTATCGACACAACTAGGCATTCCATCGCCAAGTTAAAGTTGTCAGTTGATGTGAGCCACTGACAGATACTGATATGAATTACTGATTTCCGTCAAACTGGTGGTCAAACGACTTATTGTGAGCTATAGCTACTGTTATGACCCATCAACTAAGTCAGGAACCAATAGTGTGATATTAATAAAATAATATGGTATTAAATGGTAGAAAATGAACATATTTTGACACTAGAAAATTATGTCACTGGCTCACATACCTATGTTCTTTCATAAAACAAATTGGTAACATATGGTTCAAATAGATGGAATGTCTATTTCAGTATCCAACAGTCAATGCTTGTATCTAATAATTTAGTCTGTAAGAAATTCAATTTCAAAATTAAAGTAGTGGTTTCAAATATTTAACAGAAAAAATTATGTGATCACGCATAATGTGCTTGATTGTTTGTGCAATAAATAATCAAATATTTCTTTACAAATATTAATCAAAAAGTGTTGACCAGTTAGACAGTAAACCTGGCAGTAATATTTCTATTTCTAGGTAATTGTTGAGCAGTGTAAATTACCAAAAGACTGCAAAGAAGCTAGATGTTTGGCAATGTGCCTTTTCGTGAAGGCTTTAATGTTGGTTGCATGCCACAGTCAAATAACAGTTAGGTCTAATGAGTATTGAAACAGTTAAAATTATTTCATTTAGTTCTTAGCCTCTCAAATCTGAAAAAAAAACTACAGCCAAGGATTCAGGTTGAATATGTTTCTATTACAGTACCTTATTTAAAGCGGACACACCACAGTTTATTGCTCATGAAAATGTTGTTATTAATGCATGATGATAAAAAAAAATCCTAATTTAAACAACTTTTATTCTATAGAATTAAACCAGTTAAGGTACAAATATTTTTAATAATTTAAGGGGGTTTTTGGTCCTCTCTAAAAAAAAATAATTTATTATATCCAGTGAAAATAGTCTAGGAAAGTTTTAACCCCATTTAAATTTATATGGCCTGTACGAAATAAGAAAGCTTTTCAAACAGATAATAAGCTTAAAATATTATAATTATATTCGCAAGACTGATTAGAAATGCCTATGACTTATTGCTTATCATTGCAACTTTTACTAGGTTTATTTATTTTAAATGATAGTTTATGATATTTTAAATCAAGCTTTAGGAGAGTTTAATCCATATCCTATTGTAATTATTATTTCATTTCACATCTTAAAATGTAAACCATATTTATTTTAAAATTATTCAAGTCACAAATGTAAATAGTTTAGTAGTCTGTCTATGTTGATAATGGATTTCCCTAGAGCTTTAATATAGCCTAAGGATTTTAATCATAGCCTACTCTTTAGGGGTTGTAATGTTAAGCTATTGTATTGTAAATAATTGTAAATTTTAAGTTACCAAACATTAAAATGTATATAATTTGTATTATGATTTACTTAGTTTAATTTGAGTAGTTTTGCTCAGGCCATTAACACACTGTGCCATTACTTTCATCGGAAACTTCAAAAAAGTAAAGTATGTTTTCAGTAGGTCATATTAATCTTGAATATTTGTAGGCATTACTATATAATGGCGTATGTAGAACAATTCATTTATTGAAACATTTTTACTTTGTTTTGATTTAGTTAGTTAGTTTTGATTTAGATTGTTATGGAGTAAAACATCATGGAAGAATACAATTTTTAATCCACAACTCAACACAAATTTAAGGTTAAAAAGTGTAATTCAAAATCAAAATTATGTCCTTAAAGAATAATATACTACAGACAAAAAAAAACTAAGATATCATTAATTTGTCATTTATGAAACAAACCAAGATAATAATTTTTATACTTAACAGTCTTAATTGGTTAAAAACTGTAATTGTGATTTAACTAGTTTCCGCACGAAAAAGATAAATAGTACAAATAATGTAATTTTACAGTTAGTTAATACATATCACACATAGATTAAGAAATTAGAATTAAATAAAATCTGTTTTCAATCAATTTGTAATACAAATTTAATTATGTGTCATGTTGTTCAACATAGTTTTTATGAATTATTTATAAATCAAAACTCAAATACATTAATGTTGAAATTGATAAAATTGCTCCTTTCGTATTAAATGTATGGGTGCTATTAAACAGAAGTTTAGAAATAGTACTAATTTAAATCTAGACATTAGTTTGTAAAAGTATTGTATTGTTTGCATTACTTTTGCTTTTATGAATATTGTAATTTTATTTTATTTCATCGCTAAATATAGTTAAATAAATATAGTTAATAGAAAATTATTTTGCTTTTAAATTGTTTTTATACATAGGTTAAATAGAATAATATTAAGTACAGTAGAATATAATCAAAGTATTTATTTCAAGTACCTGTTAATATTTACTGTGGATGTTAATAATATTATGTTCATTGATATTAAAGAAATTATAAGTATTTTAAAGTGGTTTTCTTTTACTTTGCAAATAATCATGATATCTTAGCAAAGATTGCACCCGATCAATGAAAATAAGTGAAGAAAATTATATAAAACTAATGCATGTTTATAAAGCTCATACAGAATGTTCTGTGAAGAGATGTGTGAAACATTCACAGGAAGAAAGTAAAGATTTTAATACACTCTTAGAGCACTACAAACAGAGAAACAGGAACAAACAAAACGCATAAATAAACAAGCAAAAACTCAAATAAGCCTCACAACTCGCACAATAAACTTCACACTAAACTTAAATTTTAATTGCAGTCAGGATATATTTCAAAACGGAAAATCGTCTTTAAAGAACATAAGACGCCTCATAAAAATGTATGTATAGCCAGTTATGAAATGTAAGACCAAGGCCACACTAAAAAAACTAGTTTTTTTAGTGTGGCCTTGTGTAAGTCGACAGGCCCATTTTTATTGAGCCAGTCAGAGCCACTGACAGGGTTGACAATCTCAGATTTTTTCACATGGACTTGTTTAACAATTCAAACTGAAAGTACAACCACAGACTGTAGAGTAAACGTAAATATTACGTAAAGTAAACATTAGATATGTTATAATCTGTGGTACAACTTACTGTAGTACAGTAATAGGATCTCTCTCTCTCTCTCTCTCTCTCTCTCTCTCTCTGTCACATAAATAAAAGTGTAAACTAAGATATAAATGAGAGTTTTAACAGTCCTGCTTTCATATGTCAATAATGCAAGTGTATTTATACAACTGGACAGTTGAGTGGCCATCAATAACACTCCAATTTGAAGGTCACCAGTTCAATTCTAACAAAAGCCTGAAGCATTTTGATGGTTTACGTGGACACTACTGACCTTGTTCGTTGGGTTTTGTTACACCATAATTCATAGACAGCAACAAGGTACATAAGCTTTAATTATCTAAATTGTATAACTTTAATATCCTTCACTCCCACCATTCAAAATTGGTTTTTAATATGCATATTATAAAAAGCATCTGTCATCTCATTGTAGTGAGATACTGTACATCTGTTCAAAATCTGCTACATAAAATTGAACGAGCTTAGGCCTATAATTTGTTTCAATAGTTATTGGAATATAAATTAATTTGAAACTTTGAGGAATGTCAAACCAAATTCTCCTAGGTATTCCCCAGCTGGACCTGTTTTGGTCGGGGTTTGGGGTAGACAGCCTCAGGACACCCAAAATTACCCACCAAGCCACAGACGCACGGCGGGGAATGCCCGATCTCAACAGCTGATCTACCAACTCTCCGACATATGCATAACTGACTCAGGTTTACTACGAACAAACACAGAACGCAGTCCGGGTTTTGCGGCATTTGAATTGGGTCTGGTAAACATTTTTTAGTTTTTGATTATTTTCGTATCTACTATTCGATTGTTATTTCCGATTCCATCATCGAGGGGAGACATTGTAGTCAGTTTTTAACTAGGGTTCCTGAGCATTTTACTTTTCTTAATATTCTATTATAATTTTATACAGGAAGATAATATTTTTCATTCTAATATTTATGTAGCGTTTGGATTAACTGCTACAGGCTACAGCTCGCACTAGGCCTACAGTATTTTTATTCAGATATTTGTCTGACAATAGAAAGATACGTAGACCTACTTAACTCCTCAATTTTCACCTCACACTGTAAATAAAATTCGTTTTTGGCATTTCTTCCATTTGTTTTAATTTTCTGTTTAAATTTCATTGTTATTTCGTCACTAGCATGACTACCCATTAGGCCCATGTTAATTTTTTTTTTTTATTAAATTTGTGTGCTCATTTTTGAGCTTATTTTAATTTATAAAGGGATTCTGCACATCTGAAGGAAGTATCTTTCTAAAAATATGCGTAGATTTCCCCTATGATGCACACGAGCTGAGAAAAATGGTTTTAAAGAAACATGCTTGCCTATTAATATTAAGATTGTATTATTATATTCTGAATTTAACTATGGTGACCTAAACTACTACAATTTAAGACATTTTATTAAATGAGTGTTTTTTCTTTTCTTTCTGGGTCCACAACAATGCTTAATGCTGGGGTTTTTAACTTTTACTTTATTGGATAATCTAACAAAAGTCAACACAATAGAGAGTTTTTTAGAGTAGTAGGTATGTTTATAGAAAGGTTGAGGCATTGCCACATAATAAATAACTTAT